TGCGCTCCTAAAGCAGGGTTAGGGGAAGTGGAGTGAAAGTCATTTCGCGTAGAAAGTCGTAAAATATATTTTAAAGCAGAAAATTTCTAATACAAATAGAAAGATTTATTACACAAATTAGACCTTTAGGTCTAAATATCTCAGAAATTAGTAATTTTTAATACTGTATGTAGCATAAATAAACTATTATTTCTTAAAGTTTTTTGTTAATAACTTTTTAACGAAAGACGACCTAAACCCTATTGAAGGTCACTCTGGGTCATGATCTTGACAACATATGTCGAGGTCAAAGTCATCAGCGCGGAGTCCCTTAAAGTGCATAATCACCAATTATTTTGAACATAATATTCAATTCTAAAAAGAAAATGTATAAACTTAATGTCTCGGATAAATACCTTAAATGTTTTGTTTAGCAAGCTATAATATGAGAAAACCAGCTGATTCATTGAAAGTGAATTTCATGTAAGGTTACTGCGGGGTTCTTTCTTTCTTATTTAAGAAAGTCAATTTGTTTTAGATTAGTGCAAAAATTGCGACAGGTCTCGTACAATACGGTCCTCCGAGAACATGGTTTTCATATAGCACAATTTATGTTTTATTATTAAGAACAAATCGCACATTAATGTTACTATAATTCTTACTGTTACGGAGAGAGGACTCTTTTTCATTCTTATGAGAAAGTTTCATTCTGTGGGTTAATTTTTAATTGTGGTGAGAAAGAGAGGGAGGAGAGGGAGAGGGGGGAGTGGGATAGGAAGAGGGGGAGGGGGGAGAAGGGATGAAGGAGGAGCGGGTGGGGAGGGGGTATGGGGAGAAAGAGAGGAACGGGACAGGGGGGAGAGCAGGGGAGGGGGATCGTCGTCATTCTGAATAAATATCTCAATTGGCACAACTTCATCCTATGGGCTGTTTTTGCGCTACATGCCTTGGAAAGTCAGGATGTAATGTATAAAAATACAGATTTCTCGACTCGGCATATGTGACCTCTTGATCAAATATGCGTGCGTATGTGCGCATGTGTTAACACAGGTAAGGTTCCCATGGTTCGTTACTTCCGTAGTGTTTGATGCCAAACCCTCTCTATTGTGTACGTGAGTGCACATCTGTATCATATCATGTACTTATAAAACAAGCTGTATTTAAATATTTAAATATGCTTGTATAGCTGTTACATAGGATACAAAGACAAATGCATAGAAAATTACTTTTTAAAAGTAGCTGAACTAGGAAAAATTTTAGTATTTTAGCACAACTATTTAGTTAAGGCATCTATTAGCAGCAAACAAACATTTCAATTATACATACATTAAAAGAGTTACACTAACAAAATATTTACAGAATTAAATTAAATAAAAGTTGCATATAAATCTCAGCTTTGGATTGATTTAAACTCAATTTAAATAAATTAAACAGTTGTTTTTAAATGAAATTGTATGAATTTTTTTTGTAAAATATTATTCCCTTAGTTATTCTGCATAAAAAAGTATTAAAGTTATCGAAAAATCAATATTTTACGAGATACATTACACTTTTCTGAACATTTTGACATAAAACATAAAATATCTCAAAAACTATTAATTTTTTTACAACTGTACTCTAATACTTTTGTTCACAGAATAGTAAGATCAATTAATTGGCATGGAGAAAACATGCTTGTTGCTGTTAACAAAAATACATAGTTGCATTGTAAATTGCACAATTTTGAATTTTAACAGCCACCGTGTATTCTCTCCACACCTATTGACTCATCTTATTATTCTGTGTATAAAAGTATTAACCAAAACATTAATACTTTCCGAGATATTTTAAGTTTTATGTCAAAATATGTCAGAATTAGTGTAAAATATCTGATAAACTATTAAATTTTTGATAATTCTACCTTAATAATTTTTTATTCAGAATAATTAAGGAAATAATGTCTGTTAAGTTTTTCTAAAAGATCTTGTTGAAAATTAAACAGGGAATGCTGACACGTATATTTATATTTCTATAAACGTGCAACACCACTGGAGTACAGCCGACCATTCGAGAGAGTCTTCTTTCGGAGCGCGCACAAGCACGTGTCGAAGCTCGGAGCAGAGTCAGACCTGCGCATCATCGTGTACATTAATTATTTGAAAGCGTCGTTTAACGAAGCGACGCTATAAAGACACTACATATGATAACCGAATACATAACAGCTCTTCCCCCCTTTTCTTTAAATTTAAAGTTCTTCTTGACCTAATAAAACAATATCCTTCGAATTTTTTTAACTCTTTAATATCTATTCTTCCTTTTTCTCTTTCCCTTTCTTCCCCATAAAATTTTTCAAATTCTATTGCCATATGAAGCAACAGATTGAAATAGTTTGATGGATTAGGATTTTTTCTGTTTTCCGCCTTCCTCTTGATCGCCATGCTGTAATACAAAAAGTAAGTAAATTAATAACAATTTATGCAATATTTATATTTATATCAAGAGACACGGTAGTATATCGCGTTAAATGAACTCATATAGCGCGAGACCGCTCCATATCTTTACGCGAGCCAGCGAGTTGCAATTTTATATTACTTAATTATGTAATAAATACATGTCTAAACTTACTTATTTATAGCTTATTTATAACTAACTTATTTATAGCTTACACAGATTTGAAGAAGAGGAAGAGGAAGGATCATTCTTCGGAAGGCGGCAGCGATGTCCTTCGATGAGAGGACGGCAGTGTTATCTTTCGGAAGATTGGCAGTGGCGGTGGCGACTTTTAAAGGACTAGCGGTATCTTTCGGAGGGATAGCGGTGGTGATATTCTTCGGAAGGCTGACGACAGCGACGGCAACTTTCGAAGAGCCAGTTGTGACTTTCAAAAAAACAGCGGTGATTTTTAAAGAGTCAACGGCATTCTTTGAAGGGGGGGATGGCGATGGTGTTATCCTTTGGAGTGCCAGTAGTGGCTTTTGAAGGACCAGCGGCATCCTTAGGAGGGATGGCGGCGGTGATATTCTTTACAAGGTTGGCGACATCGGTGATAGGTGGTTTTTAACTTGATTTCCAATACTTGTGTAAAAAGACCTACATTCAATTTTTTCATAATAACCTGAAATTTTAATATAATGTATTATAATTATAAATAAGAGTAAACCAAGAACACAGTTAATACTTAATCGTCGTTTTTCATCCTGTTAAAGACGTAGGAAAAGAGAAAGACTCCTTTAAAAATCGCGATTGCTTTAGCAATTAAAAAAAAGAAATACGACTATGCAACACATTGAACATGTCTGTACAAAACAACACATGTCTAAACAAAATACGATTAACAAAATATTAAAACATGTTCCCAGTGTTGATTAGAGTCACTAGATAACCGCTATCGCGATTTCTGGGTAACGATCATGTAACTTTTTCTTCAGAGCGGAAACGTAAAAAGTGAAAATTTTTATATATGTATGTATGTATGTATGCATGTATGTACAGGGTGTTGCACCACCATACAGGTCAGTATGACGGGTTGGCCATTCGTGCAGGCGCGCGAGATCGTTCACAATTGCGTAAACTTCGGCGGTACAATCATAGCACACCTTTTTTTCCAATAAAGATCGTAGTATATCAAATTGTGATGCAATTATGACGAACTTCCGTAGAAATAGGTTAAAACAAAAACTGAAGTAACAAGATATAGGTTATAAAAACGAATTTTATCATGAAAACGAAGCATGTTTTCCTTCTTATAAGAAAAATTCGATCATAGTCGAATGTAACCATTGTGTAATATAATTTGATTGCTTGAATTATTTTTACAGAGAACGAAAGTCAGAAATAAATAGTCCTATTGGTGCCAATAGGTGTCTGCTTGGTAGGGATAGACATAGAAGTGGTGGGCTGGTTTTCTGTGGTGCCGGGCAGTGATGCACATTTGGCCCCCGGCACCACGGAAAACCAGCCCACCACTTCTATCCCCACCAAGCAGACTCTTACTGACACCGAGTCGGCCGACTTCGCCGCTACGCGAGAGTGAGCGAGACAGCGAGAGAGAGCGCTCGTCCTTCGCTCTACTAGTAACTTGTAAACACAAGCGAGTAAGAGCGAAAACGACGGTCGCTCTCTCTCTCACTGTCTCGCTCGGTCTCGCGCAGTGGCGAAGTCGGCCGATTCGGTGCCAGTAGGTGTCTGCTTGGTGGGGATAGAAGTGGTGGGGTGGGTTTTCTGTGGTGCCGGGGACCAAATGTGCATCACTGCTCGGACCTAGCGTCTGTGACGCACTTCTCCCTCCCTAACCCCTCACAAGCGCATACAAACCGCATATAATACGTACGCACTAACATAGAGTGAATTAGAATCGTTGTAGCTTTTCTACTGATACAGTTTCTTAAAGATCGGCAAAATTTGCCGGTTTCAATGATTCTCTAATTGTTGTGCGCAGTTTAGATCATAAAACAATATCGAAAGAAAGAATGGATTTATTATACTCTTTGTAAAATCTCGTTTTCCATAACTATTACGTACTTTTCCATAACTTTCCCTATTTAATTGTTTAAGGATTATAAAATATGAAGGAATTCATGTATATAGATATGTGACTCCATTAACATTCATATGAGGTTGAACAGTGTATAATTATGCACGTCGTACGCTTTCCTCTGTTTCTGCAAATTTGATATTTCTTCATTATATTGTTTTGCTAATTTGTATAATATCAATTTGTATTCATAGATACACTAATTTCGACGGTACGTACTTGCAACATGTATGTGCAGTAGGTATACAAATAAGTCATAATGTAATCTGCATTGTATAATAATAATTAAAAAATTTTTGTTTACGGCAATATAAATAATAACATAAAATAAATGATATATAAAAATATGTTACTCAATAAAAACAGAATGTTATAAACACAACTTTCATGTGTAATTTATTTAAAACGTAAATATTAAATATGTGTTTTATGCCCTTACATCCTCCTTAATGCTTCTATGCACAGAAGGAGATGAATAGATTGGAGTAAAGAAAACCATAAATTAATAGTTTTGCTGATGAATTTCAATGCGCCTATTTTTGAAAAAATAATTTTTTGAGGTCGTTTATATAGGACTTATAGTTTTTAGTAAGTAGAAAAATTTTTCAATTAGTAAGGTAATACATATATACAGTCAACATTACTTTGTTTTTTGCTTTAACGGTCATATATAATACTTTTCACAATGTGTCAGATTAAGATATAAATTATCAGTATTGTTATTCGTATCAAAATTTCCTTTAATCGTACGGTTTGTTTCTTTACGTACAACTTGTTATTTTCTCAAGAAAACTTTTTATAATTGTAGGATTATAATATATAAGATGACGGGAATGATGGTGGGACTCTTTTATATCTGAATTATAGGATGTACAATTCTTCTAGGTTAAAAGCATGTTATACGGTGCAAGAAATATATGGGTAAACTGTTTATAAGAAGACATATACCACTACAAAATGCGTGATATCAGTACAAATACACATTTTTACCAAAAAAGATTTTAAAAGGCGCTAAGAATATACATGCTTCTCGAATAAAACTTAAATGATACATTACATGTTCTTTTAGATAATTATGTAGTATAGGGGAACAATTTCTGATGATCTCGATCTGGACATATGTGGTCAAGGTCATGACCCCGAGTGATCTTCAAAAGGTTTTAGTTCATGGTCGTTCTTTGTTAAAAAGTTATTGGGATCTTGAATAAGTTCTCGCTGTTTTCCAACAGATCGCGTTAACAGAACTGCGTGCGTGTAGTTGAAGATGGGAACACATCGATAAGAAACTACGATAAGCAAGCTTGAAATTCAATGTATGTCATCTGGCCGAAGTGTAAACAACTTTTTGTTTCATAGTGTTAAACATGTCGAGTTTTGTGCTAACAAAAAAAAAGAGTATTTGCGGGGAATTTTACTGCACTACTTTATTAAAAAAAAATCTGCAGCTGAAGCACACAGAATTCTTGTCGAGACTTACGGCGACCATGCTCTGTCGGAAACAACATGCAGAGATTGGTTTAGACGCTTCAAAAATAATGATTTTGATGTTGAAGATAAAGAACGTTCTGGCGCACCGGAAAAGTTTGAAGACAAAGAATTGGAGGCATTACTGCATGAAGATTCATGTCAGACGCTAGCCGAACTTGCAGAATCATTAGGAGTTGATCACACAACAGTTTCGAAACGTTTTTTTACGACTTTTTTTAAATAAAGCATTACTTTTCACGGAAAATCAGCGAGAACTTATTCAAGGTCCCAATATTAACAAAAAAATTTCAAAAATAACGTATTATTTTGCTATACATACAATACTAAATACTATTCTACATAGGTTTTGACTTTCCGCACGAAGCGACTCACACATCCCCCCCCCCCTCAGTTTAAGGGGCGCACGATTTCCATATAGTTGTACTGTTGCACATAGGTTTCGACTTTACACGCGAAACGACTCTTAGCTCCTCCCCCCCGCTTAAGAGGCATACGACTTCCATAATTGTACTATTGCACGTGGGTTTCAACGTTATGCAACAATACAATTATGGAAGTCGTGCGCCCCTTAAGCAGGAGGGAAGGGGGGGAGAGTCGCTTTGCGTGGAACATATTATATACGTATATACCATTTAAAAGCACAAAATATTTTCTTTCGATATTTATTATTTTATAATTAGCAACTTTGGTTGTTAATAATTTTTTAACGAAGGACGACCACGGGCTGAAACCTTTTGAAAGTCACTCGGGGTCATGACCTTGACCACATATGTCAAGGTCAAGGTCATCGGAAAGTGCTCCCCTATACTACATAATTATCTCCTTTTATTATTCCAAACCAAGTAACAACAGTTTTAATACTTTTCCAAAGATATTCTTATTGAAGGTATTCTTATTCCAACCCAAGTAATGGCAACTTTAATTCTCTCTCGAAAATTATTACTTAAAAAAAAAACTATTGTACCAAATTAAATCCCAAGTACTATAGTCTTAACTGATCAAGTTAAATTATATATCAAATTAAATAGTAAAACCTAAGTAGTATTATATCTTTGTTATTTATTTAAATTTAATGATATGCATCATTCGTGTAAAAGATTTGATATCAACAAGCGCTAATAAATAAGTTATATTCCATACCAAATTAAATAAAGAACATAATCCAAGTGATACTGTCTTTAATTTTTGTACAATGAAACCTAAGTATATATATTTGTATTCCTATTGAAAGATCTTCCTATGCTGATCCAAGTGAATTTCATTCTTTTTATATGAAACTTTTATATCGCAATTCATTCAAAGACATTTTTTCGTTCAACCAAAATTGTAGTTATTTAATTCTCCTTCAAAACATTATTCAAAACGTTATCACAAAATTACATTAGTCTATTCAAGTATTACCACAAAAAATTAACGAAGTAAACACTTGCGTACATACGAGCACGTACACGTACTCATGCATATGAACGCACGCATGCACACGTACAAGCGCACGCATATAGTGTCACACACTTATACACACGCGCGCACACGCAGATCGAGAAATTACATATAAAGAATGAACCATATATTAAAAAATTAGCCACATCCGTAAAAAGACTTTCCCATAAGAATACGGTTTCTAATAATATGTTTTGAACATCTGTGAAAAAATAATAAACTTTCATAGATTATCACACTTTATAAAAATCTTAGAAAAACGTCTATGTCGTATTGCAATTTCCTTCCTCGCTATATCTGTGAGTGGCAAGGAAATACTTTTTTGTTAGAAGACTTTGAACTGAGGGATATCGTTGAAACTATCTATCAATGCTCTCGAAACGTTCAACACAACGGATTTACAACTAATGATACCAAATCAGAAGAAGTGATTTTATATTCCCCGAATCCTTCAAAATTATTATTGAAGGTTTGTGACTTGCATTAACGTTACCTTGAAGCATATGTAACTTTTCATTGAATGTCATTCGCATTATACTTATCGTCTATCAAGGGTTTGGAAAGTAAATGGCTAATCTTATGGTCAATTTAACATGTCATTCGATGGAAATGGATAGATAGATTGCGTTTGTTATAGACAAGACGCAGACATACATAGACTATAGACAAACTATAGCATATATGGAAAATTTCACTTAAAAGAGAATAGCAAGATGTACATACCTCGTACAGATTGTATTGCGAAGCAGACAGATTTACAATTCTCTTTTCTTACATGAGATAAA